CGGTTTATACCGGTTTCATACCGGAAAATACCGGTTTTACCGGCCAAAATACCGGCTAAAATCCCTTCTCCCAACATTTTGTTATCTATTGCATCAAACAAATGGCATGCACTAGCTGAAAATGAGCAATGTAAGTTTGTGTCTAAACACAGTTGATTGACTGATAGGAGATTATATTTAAAATCAGGCACATAAAGGACATTCCTCAGAGTTAACTTTTTGTGACCTGTATATTCTCCTTGTTTGTGACCTTCTTAATACTACCATCTGGCAAGCAAACTGTCATTTTCTGATCTTTGTTGTCCACTTATTGTCAAGTACTTTGCAACCTCCTGTTTGATGAGATTTGTTATGTTCTGCATAGGTAATCTCCACCTCTTCCTTCAGTGTTTATTGGCTCCCTTGCTACATGTTCAGATTTAACTGAATTCACAACCAGCTTCGGTTGTTGGGTGTTAAATGTGACTTTACTTTTTTGCCCTGTTATTGTGTAATAAACAATACATAAGTTGTCAATTGGTCCTAGCACTTTTAGTTGTATAAACAGGAAGGCGTAACACCTCTGTAACCTAATCCCTCATTCGTCATTTTTCTACATCATTTCATCTTTTTCTCGTTTCTTTTAGTTGCGGCTGAAGGAGTCGTAAAGGAAGCGGCTGAAGTCGATGCTGTCCCTGTCCGTGGCCGTGGCCGTGGCCGTGGCCGCGTCGTCAAGGAAGCGGCTGAAGTCGATGCTGTCCATGTCCGTGGCCGTCGCAAGCCGTCGCAGTTAAAAGGTAATTTTGTGTTTGCTTGCTAATTGGAGATCTGGATGAGAATTTTGTCATACGAGGGTCAAGATTTGTGGCAAAGCTTCAAAAACTCTGTCCCATTGTCATTCCTATATTGTTTGATTTTTGTATTGAACTGTGTATGCACCATTTGATAATTGAGGATGTGTTTGAAAAATGTGATCATCTTGCTTAATTTTGGATACTGCTTTGTGCTCATGGTCTCAGGAAGCGAGGTTTCAGTTCCTGGAATTGGAAATGCCAATGTTGTTGCTTCAAATAATGGGGGTAAGGGGTGATTAGGTCTTTATGTTTAAATGATCGTCAATAAAGCTGTTAATTCTCTGGTTAATCTATGTCACTTTATGATCATTCGTATTATAAGGTTTGAATGCTTGTTGCGTATTTAATCGAGTTATCATTTGCTTGCATTTTCTTATGAAATTAATTTCAAGAGCTCAACGCTGATCAAAAGAGGTGAAAAATAGATGATAACATGTAAAAATAACTCATTTAACGTTTCTTTGCCGTGCATCGCACGCGGTACGTACTAGTTTATTAAGAGCACAATAACAAATTTATACTTAAATTCTAAAAAATGAAGTAAAGAGTTTTAATTTAGCACTTTATTATAGTACTATTCGCTTGTACAATTTATCCGTCTTATATTATAGTTTTAATTTATAATTTTATAGACATTGATATAATATTTTATATTTTCAGTTGGTCTTTAATAGGTAATTTAATTGTTATAATAAAGAGGACCTCAATTTCTTTTTATTCTTATTTTTGAGATACGTACTGGATAGGATTTGGGTCTCTGCATAGTTTGCGTCCCCTTAAGGGGTTGTGTTACTCGCGCATAAGGTCCATTGAAACGTCCATGTATTTTATCATCAACTTGGTGAATTAATTTCAAGATATAAGACTTTCCTATTATAACGGGTTGTTCGAAAGGATTCCCCGTCCTTCCATCAAATATTCTGCTTTTTCCTGGATATTCGGGTTCAAATGCCCAAGGATTTCCAATCGAATTAGCGTCATTCTACTTCTACCAGGGA